AAGCTGGGCTCCTCAGAGACCACGAGGGCCGATCTCAGAAATCGAAGAGGCACCTACTTTTCCAGCCTTGTCAGCACCTGTCACACGCACACTCAGCTTTGCGGAAATTATGGGTATTCTGTCGAAGACTTCTGGAGAAGTAGAAAACACATGAATCTTACTGTCCAATCACCCACTTCCCACACGCAGCAATAGCTCATGGGTACCACAGATAACTTTGCCAAAGTTCTCTGCCAAAGTTGAGCACGTGAAGCTTGCAGCTCCCACTACATCGCTCTGACCAAGAAGGGTAAAAGAATAGCAAAGAAACAGCACTAACAAAGTTTAGACCCATAAATTTTGAAGGTCTAGCTACCATATTATTACCCACAAGGGTAAAGGAACAGTACCACTGTTGGATAATTGGAAAGTCCCTGTGTGTCAACCTCTGTGCTTCGTGGCAAGGTAGACTAGCAAACATGCCCAACCTTTACTCACATTCGAGAAAACACTCCCAACAAGATTGCTTGCTCCAAAATCGAAGAGGCACCGCCCTCCGAATCTCGAGAGCCAGACTCCCAACATGATTTCTTTCTCAAAAATCGAAGAGACACTGCTCCCCGAATCTCGAGAGCCAGACCCCCAGCATGATTGCTTTCTCAAAAATCGAAGAGGCATCGTTCTCCGAATCAATCGAAGAGGCGCTCGCTTTCTCAAAAGCTGGGCTGCTCAGAGACCACGAGGGCCGATCTCAGAAATCGAAGAGGCACCTTCTTTTCTAGCCTTGTCAGCACCTGTCACAAGCACACTCAGCTTTGCGGAAATTATGGGCATTCTGTCGAAGACTTCTGGTGAAGTAGAAAGCACATGAATCTTACTGTTCAATCACCCACTTCCCACACGCAACAATAGCTCATGGGTACCACAGATAACTTTGTCAAAGTCTCTGCCAAAGTTGAGCACGTGAAGCTTGCAGCTCCCACTACATCGCTCTGACCAAGAAAGGTAAAAGAATAGCAAAGAAACAGCACTAACAAAGTTTAGACACATAAATTTTGAAGGTCTAGCTACCATATTATTACCCACAAGGGTAAAGGAACAGTACCACTGCTGGATAATTGGAAAGTCCCTGTGTGTCAACCTCCGTGCTTCGTGGCAAGGTAGACTAGCAAACATGCCCAACCTTTACTCACATCCAAGAAATCACTCCCAACAAGATTGCTTACTCCAAAATCGAAGAGGCACCGCCTTCCGAATCTCGAGAGCCAGACTCCCAACATGATTACTTTCTCAAAAATCGAAGAGACACTGCTCCCCGAATCTCGAGAGCCAGACCCCCACCATGATTGCTTTCTCAAAAATCGAAGAAGCATCGTTCTTCGAATCTCGAGAGCCAGATACCACATACCACTTTTTCAAAGTGCTCTGACAGAGTTAAAACATGTGAAGCTGGCAGCTCCCACTACCGTGCTATGACCAAGCAGGGTAAAGGAATAGCATTACTACTTGTTGTTAGGGAGACTCCTATATATGTCGACCTCCATCCCCAACGGACAGGCAGACCTGCAAAAATGCTCAACCCTTCCTCATATCTGAGAGGGCACTCCCAACGAAGCCTTTCGAAATATTCAGCTTCTTTCCCCCCGATAATACCTCTGCAAACAAGCTATACTAGAGCAAGAATATCTCATATCATCAGGGTTAAAAGCAAGAGTATCCCATATCATGCTTTTTCCCTGTCTTTTCCTTTGGCCTTGTTTTTTACCTGCAAGACAAGGAGAAAGAGAGCAATCAGTCAGCACTTGAAATCAAGCTCCCAGCCAGGAACTGACAGCCTGGAACCCCTTACCTGATTACTTACCTGGCATTGCTCTCGAGTACTCATCTTCAACATCTTATGTTGCCAGGGAAGATACCGCATCTGCTTGAGGAACAGATAGGGCAAGTGCGAAGGATACAAGGAAGCATGTGGAGACAAGCGTAACAGCACACGTGCCGATCCATCCATTACTCTATCAAAAGCAAAAGTATCCCATATCAGCAGGGTCGAACGTACTCTAGATTTGATGGACTTGTTTTGACCCTCAAATTCTTCAGTCGGCCTTTATACTCTGGAGGAAACCAGAAAACCCTCCAGCTCAGTTCAAGAATAAGCCTGTGGAAAGTTACTTCTTCAAAAGCAAAAGTATCCCATATCATCTCTTCTCATTTTTCTTCTTTTTATCCTTCATGCTGCTGCAAGATGGGGAGAAGGTGAACAATCAGCCGGAGCTCTGATTGCTTACCTTGTCTGTCACCTCTTTCAGCAAATCCCCTAGCTCGGCGACTTGGGGGACTCCTACTACATGGTTTATATCGCGCTTGACCAAGCCTGAAACTACAAGTAAGCTTCAAGTGAAATTGATACATTACCTTGTGCATCTCCACCAGTTAAAGATACCACCCCTGGATGGATGAAGAGTACTTCCAGAGAAGCTGCCACATCTACCTATGAGACAGATAAGGCAAGTCAAGATGATACCACACTCCGATACTTAGAAGTTTCGTGATTACGAGATCATTCTCCCACAATATTTCCTAATGTCATTTGTACTCTAATGTCATTTGTACTAAATCATTCACTTGTACTCACTAAAGGAGAGCTTGAACCTATGTACTAGTGTAAACCCTTCACAATTAATGAGAACTCTTCTATTCCGTGGACGTAGCCAATCTGGGTGAACCACGTACATCTTGTGTTTGCTTTCCTATCTCTATCCATTTATATACTTATCCACACTAATGACCGGAGCAATTTAGCGAAGATCACAAAAAGCGACCGTTTTCGCTACCTAGGATCTATCTTACAAGAGAACGGAGAATTAGATGGAGATCTCAACCATAGAATACGAGCTGGATGGATGAAGTGTAAGAGTGCATCCAGCATGTTGTGTGACCGTCGTAGGCCACTGAAGCTCAAGGGAAAATTTTATAAGACGGCAATAAGGCCAGCGATGTTGTATGGCACAGAATGTTGGGCGGTGAAACATCAACACGTACACAAAATGGGTGTAGCAGAGATGAGGATGCTTCGTGGGATGTGTGGGCACACGAGAAAGGATAAGATTGAGAATGAGGATATCCGAGGTAAAGTAGGAGTAGCCGAAATTGAAGGAAAGATGAGAGAAAATCGGTTCCGGTGATTTGGACATGTGCAAAGAAGGCCGACTGACGCTCCGGTTCGAAGATGTGACTACGGGACAGAGGTTCAGGGCCGAAGGGGTAGAGGAAGACCTAGGAAAACTTTGGAAGAAACTCTAAGAAAAGGCTTAGAGTACTTGGATCTAACGGAGGACATGACACAAAACCGAGCGCAATGGCGTTCTAGGATTCATATAGCCGACCCCACTTAGTGGGAAAAGGCTTTGTTGTTGTTGTTGTTGTATTTATGTACATTTTCTATTATATGCATGTTACGAGATGTTTATCACTTTCATGGACAGTTATATCTATTGTGATCTTGCTCAGATCCGTTATCGTTTTGTTTATAGCCAGCTCGAGTGGCTCTGAGCTCAGGATGTGAGGGCGTGGCAGCTATTAATACCATCATGAGTGTAATGGGGATCAATCTAACTACCTTACGGCCTGAGCCTTGTGTGGAGGGGTATGCTGCCAAAACCAGAAATTCATATTGTTCGGTTTGAATTGTCATTCATCTCAGGGAAACATGCCTAAATTTTCTCTCAGATACTCAACTCCTGGGGGCTATTCGGCTAAAGCAGTTCATCCGATTGCATTGGCAAAAGTGATGAACATAGCAAAATTAATGAAATCAGAGTTTGGTGATACAGATTACTCGCTTTCTGGTATTGGGGGTGTTGAGTCAGGTGGCGATGCTGCTGAGTTCATTCTTCTTGGAGCAAATACTGTTCAGGTAGGTTGAGAACTAATTGTTGTAGTTTCTGTATATTAAAATGATGTGATTTCTATAGTTAGGTGGAGTGACCGACTCTTTGGACATTCAACGCCACTGTAGAATGGATCTCAGGATCTCTCAGTATAACCTGACAATGAATAATGCATCTCATAATTGACTTAGAAATATACAGATGCTTTTTTTGTCTCTCGGAGATGTCATTGTTGGTATGAACTATGGAGATAAGATTTCCTCTCGAATGCTAATTTACGTTAGGAAGAGTCTAATGACTAGTTCAGGTTCAGGAAACTTAATCTATCATGCTGCAAATGTTATTTAAGCAACGTGCCATGATAACTGATTGGAAAGCACGACTGGTGGAAGTCACTGGAAAGGTCTTAGCATATACAAAAGTGGAGCTTTAATGCGCATTTGAAATTATTGAGTTTCATTTGCAGGTCTGCACCGGGGTCATGATGCACGGATATGGTGTTGTGAAGAAACTTTGTTCCGAGCTGAAGGATTTTATGAAACAGCACAATTTCTCATCCATTGAAGATTTCAGGGGGTATGTGCTTTACGAAGAACGAATGTTAAATCTAAACAGAACATTTCTTGAGGTGAAAAATGAATTTCACTCGTATTTTATTTTGATATTTTTGATGAATTTGCAGGGCTTCTCTCGAATACTTTACAACACATACAGATTTAGTAACAAGACAACAGGAAGCAATCAAACAGAGGAAAGCCATCCGGAAAGGATTGCAATCTGATAAAGACTGGACAGGAGACGGTTTCGTGAAAGAGACCGAGAGCATGGTTTCCAACTAAGCTGGACAACCAAACCAATTGAAATAAAGTGGGATGTTCTTAGATATTTGAAGAAATAAGCTGCACTGCATGAACATTTAAGCTGATAATGTATAAACTTCTTCTGATGCTTTCCAATTTAATCAAAGCTAATTAAACAGAATCATGATTTAATTAATCTCTAATTGTTGTTTTTTTTTGGGCGCGTCAATAGTAATATATATTTGCTAACAAGTAGATGAGTTTAAATTTCGAGATCTGTGTAGTGGATATACACAAATCTCAGATCATAAATAGAGTGGTGAGCAAAAATGCATTCAAAAAATTGGTCTGCCTAGCATTACTAAAAAATTTAATATTAAACGATTCATAAGGTCTATATGAAATGACTATTTAAGCCACAAAAGGTGAAAAATTAAAAAGAAAATATTCTGAATTCAAGACCCAAGTGCTTTTTTCCCGACTCATATGCCTAAAATTCACTTCTAGATATCTAATGTTTGATTAAGGACCAGATAACACATGTTTACAGGTTCTTGAAATTGTCACAACTCACAAAAAGGATCAATGGTGGCAGATACCATTCTGCAATATTCATATTAATGGTTATGAAAGCACATCTTAAACCCTGCAGAATTCATCTTTGTCCCATGGCCCTTGTGCTACAGTCATCTCTAGCTTTCACCTGTGATATTAATTTCAAGGTTCAGAACAAGAGTAGTTAGTAATTAGTATTCATGTATTAATTTTACGAAGCTGTTATTGAAGCTTCAAAAAAGTCATTCAAACTAACCAGAAAGTGAGGCGGGTGCAGGTTGATCAGGCAGATGGGAGTTGTTTGTGAGATCCTCAAGTTGCACCTGCATGTTAGTTATGAACTCCATGGACTTCTGCTGAGGTTCCTCCATTGCTGCTTTCAGCTTCCCAAGTGCCAAGCAATATGCTTCCTGTCATCGATCACCACCACACGCATCAATCGATGCAACCCTACACAAGTTATTAACTGAAATAGAAAAAGAATATGCGAATACACACACACACATGCTTCCTCCACATATTGCGTGGTCTTTCAGGAAACTGCGGCATGCATGAGTAGCATCACTATCAACAGGAAGAAGGATTTGAATTTGAGACCACTTCCAGTAATATTGGAAAAGAGAACTAATAGCAAGTTGGTGAATATCAATTTTGGTTGAGTAGTACTCTTTTTCTTGCCCTTTATTTTTTCCTTTTGTGCTGAGCAACTTCCTTGAATACGCTTGGGTGTCATTTGGCCTCTAAGATTGGATTGGAACAAATAGCTCTTAGATTTCAAATACAACTAAGAGAGAAGTGAATGATATTTCATTTGGAAAGCGTTAGACATGTAAGAAACTCATTCTTCTACTCCTACCATTTTAAGGGGGATTGGAATGGATAAGTTTCTTTCATTTGTAATTCATCTTTCACCTTCTAGTTGTACACAACATTTCCATTTCTCCCTTTTAACTACTGTCAATTTAGTAGTTTATATATCCATTCCAATCCAATCTGAGATACCAATAGCGAGGCCTTGCTGTGCATGCATTAGTTAATTAATTGATTAGTTTTTTAACATAATGCATAAAAGGGACAAGGGTTTTGGGTTATTATTAATGAATGTGAAATAATAGCCTTCAGGGTTCGATCTTAATTACGCACCATGAAGTGATCGAGGTCAGAATGTCCAAGCACGCCTAAATTTGCTTTGCAGTTGTAGTCAAGCTGTTTTATATCTCTGCAGCCATCATTTTCCTCTAGTTCACCGTTGATTCCACTAACCTGAAAATTTGAAAAGAATATAAACAAGAAGTATTATCTAATTAATAAGTAGTTAATCAGAAAGTGTTCTTTATGCAGGAGCTAGGATGGATGCCCTAAAGCCTTCACTCCAATGAACATATCAATTTACACACAAACATACGGCCGGAGGAGCACCGGGGGGGGGGGAGTGGAGAGAGAGAGAGAGAGAGAGAGAGAGAACCTTCAAGCAGTCCAAGTGATTTTCAACCAACAAACCATATAAAGGATGAGTAGAGATTTTCTTTTTGAGAATCTCATGATCTTCAATATTTGCTTCTTTTTCCTTCTCCTTTTGACTAGAACTACTCAAATCATCTTCCATATTATAATCTTCCGAAAGTTCCAACCCTGCAACTGTAAATACTAGCTAATTAACTATATAGCTATTAGAGTCAGACAGCCTCTCTGCCCTAACCCTAATTAATGTTTGACCATTACATCATTCCTTACCATTTCTGCTCACGTATAAAGAGTAGCGCAGAGTACAGAGACGCTCTCATTTTTTGGAATTCACCAAATGGAATGACTCATGTATGCATATATATTATAAAACTGATGATTCGAATGCATGAAAGGTATCAATCTCTGGTTTTTTTTGGCCTTTTCTCTATCTCCCTCTTCTCTCTTTTTCTGTCTTTATACATGAAAGAAAGTAACACATCAAGGAGTTTCCCGAGCAATGGGGACCTAGTTAGTGCATTTTCTTCATATTCATCCAGACTGTAATATTCTCCGCCTTTATATATAGATCACTTTCCTTTTTTACTAGTCAATCTGTATCACTTTTTTCAAGCAATACATCCAAATTCCTAACTGTTCATGCATAATGGGTGTTTTCTTTTATCGTTGCTTGCCAAATTTATTTGAGAAGAGAATGTTTCCACTACTGTTTATCCACTCATACGAAAATGACTCTTCAAGGCTCTGATATATTTGGTATCATAGATTATCTGACTATATACGTACGTACCCAGACAAATCATCCACCAAACCTTTTACATTTTTCAACAATTACAATTAGTACCAATATAACAAAGGAAGATTCTTGATTGTACACTGTTATAATTGCGAGAATTTAATAAACTAGGTCAAGGGCATGTCACATTATATATATAGTGAAAAGTAGAGTAATACAGACGGATAATCAGATACAAAACTACGATTGTTAATTTACTAACTAAAAACAAAGAAACGCTATAGAATTGCCAAAAATGCTACATATAACTCAAAGATATTACATCTTATATGACTTACGTCTAACTAAATTACAAAACATCCTATTTATAAAAAAAATTACCCTAATTCTAAAAGGCAAGGGATCTAAATACTTAACCTACAAGAAAACGCTAAGACGCAACATACAATATTACCCTTAAATTATAATAAACCAAAAGGCTAACTACTTAACTTTTCCAACATACATATGGTTTGTCGTAATGTTAATAATCTTCATACTCCACATTTTAAAGGGTTTTTGAATTTTAATTCTTAGAAGATTAAAATTCAATAAAAACCTGGTGTTAGATTGGATATTGATTTTAGTCCTCGGATGTGTACTTAATTCAAGAGTAAATTACATAGTAGCCCCTCATGTTTGAGGTCTATTACAACCTCATACAACAACTTTAAAACATTTCACTTTTATACCTCAAGTACTATTTTATTTCAAAATAATACATTCGTTACATTTTCCATCCATTGATCCGTTAAACGTTGACGTGGCTGCCACATTTGTGCTGATGTGACTACCACGTGACAAAAAAAAATAATCTTTTATACATTAAAAATATTATAATATTAACCCTTAAAAAAAAAAAAAAAAAAAAAAAAAAAAAGCTAAAACCCAGCAACCCATTCCCCCGACCCTCCTTCACTCTCCACTCTCCTCACTCTCTCTCTCTCAAACCCCAAACCCCCCAAAATCCCAGATCCAAAACCCACACAATGTAGCTCCGTCGACGCCTTCCTCCTCACATTCACACTCCTCACGACCCTCACCGAAGCGCACAACATCACACACCACCAATCCCTTTCCGTCATGTTATCAGACCCTTTCTCCAACTACCCCACCCCCACCGAGGACCGATCGGCAATACCCAACATAGACTCCGACCCACCCTTTACCTGATCCGACCCAACTCATGGAGATCGCCCCGGCCCCGTCGCCGTCCGGTGACCGGAACATCCCAACCGACACCATCATGACGTCATCATCTCAGGAGAACGAAGCAAGCGCGGCGGCGACGACGGCCAATGCAAGGTTCAACTCTCTCTCTCTCTCTCTCTCTCTCTCTCTCTCTGTAATTGGATTTGTTTAAGTTTGTGCATTTCGGTCTCGATTGGTGATTGAATTGGTGTTTGCATTCCCTCAAAATTTCATATAAGAGTTTGGAATTGATTTGATTAGGGTTCTAGGGTTTATTTTACTCGTTTTATTTGTGATATTGGTAAGAGAGGCTCAAAACGAGTTGAGCTTTTTATTCAACTCTAATGGGAAGGAAGAGATGGGTAGGGGGTGGAGGGCATGGACGGAAGGGAAGGAAGAGATGGGTAGGGGTGGGATATGGGGTTGCGGGGAATCATTTCTGGGTTTGGGTTTTTCTGTTTTTTTTAATTTTTTATTTTAATAGGGTTAATATTATAATATTTTAATGTATAAAAAATATTTTTTTGCCACGCGACAGCCATGTCAGCGCTTAATGGATCAATGGATGGAAAATGTAACAGATGTATTATTTTGAAATAAAATAGTACGTGAGATATGAAAGTGAAATGTTTAAAAGTTGTTGTATGGGATTGTAATAGACCTCAAACCTGAGGGGCTACTATGTAATTTACCCTTAATTCAAATTTATATTATTTTTTTAATATTTAATAGATATTTTATTTAATGTCATTAATTAAAATTAAAATTATTTATTATTATACACATTTTAATTCATTATATTTATTTTACTTCCTCTAATTAGTGTAGCTAAACGTTCGTATCATAATATATTTTACTAAATTAGTGTACCGAAATGTCCATACCTAAATATATTGTAGTGAATTATTGGCACATAAGAAAATATGCAAAAACATAAGTGTACCGAAAAAATCCGTATCTAAATATATGATACTAAACTAGTGTACCGAAATGTTGGTACCTAAATTTATTATGATAAACTAGTGTACCGAAATATCCGTACCTAAACATATTATACTAACCTAGTGTACCGAAATGTTCGTACCTAAATATATGGGTAAATTACATAGTAGCCCCTCAGGTTTGAGCTCTATTACAATCGCATACAACATCTTTAAAACATTTCACTTTCATACCTCACGTTCTATTTTATTTCAAAATAATACCTCCGTCACATTTTCCATCCATTGATCCGTTAAGTGCTGACGTGGCTGACACATTTGTGCCACGTGGCAATTTTTATTTTTTAAAATTTTTTTTAAAAAAAAAACCTTAATCTTCTAAATTTAAAAAAAAAAAAAAAAAAAACCCAGAAAACTTGAAACCCATTATCCCCTAACCCCTGAACCATGCGAATCCCCCCAACCCTGAACCTTGGAAGAAGGTAAAAAAAAAAAAAAAAACCAAAAAACTTGATTATCCCCCCCCTGCGAAACCCATATCCCATTATCCCCTCAACCCATTATTCCCCAGATCCCCTTATCCACCCCCAACCACCCCATCCCCGCGCCCGCGCGAACCCAAATCCCATAAGCCCCTCGTACCTGGAACCCACAACCCAGATCCCATAAGCCCCCATCCCACCCTCTTCCCTCCTCTCACACACCCACTCCTTAAATCCACACTCATTTCTCCTATTTTCACCTCACGAACCCGACGATGGCGGTCGAGATCTGGGTTTTTATTTTTTTATTTTTTTCTAGGTTGCAGATAGGGGTCAGGGGAAGAAGAGAGGGGGGAGAAGACGAACTGAAAGGGGTTTTATTTTTTCTTTCTGGGTTGCGGAAGAAGATGAAGATCCGGGGAGGGGGGTTGCGAGGAAATGGGATGCGTTGCAGGTACGAGGGTCTTATGGGATGGGGGTGGATAATTGGATCTGGGGAATAATAGGTTGGGGGGATAATGGGATATGGGTTTTGCAGGGAGCGTGGGGGGGGGGGATAATGGGATATGCGTTTTGCAGGGAGCGTGGGGCCGGGGGGGGGGGTGGGGGGAGGAGGGGATAATCAAGTATTTTGGTTTTTTTTTTTTTAATTTAGAAGATTAAGGTTTTTTTAAAAAAAAAAAAATTTTGCCACGTGGCACACATTTGGCAGCCACATGGCACAAATGTGTCAGCCACGTCAGCACTTAACGGATCAATGGATGGAAAATGTGACAGAGGTATTATTTTGAAATAAAATAGAACATGAGGTATGAAAGTGAAATGTTTTAAAGATGTTGTATGCGATTGTAATAGAGCTCAAACCTGAGGGGCTACTATGTAATTTACCCTAAATATATTGTAATGAATTAGTGGCACATAAGAAAATGGCTTGTTATATTAACACCCCACAATTACTTTTTCATTTAAAAATTATTTTAAAACACCCCACATAATTCTCCATAATACCCTCGCACCCCATAATCTTAACATACACCTTATATTTTTTACATACACCCCACATTTTCTATATACATTGTACACATTTTCTTTGAGTTCTTCGAGCAATCCTACACCGACAACAATTTCAAAATACTTAGACAAGCATTAGCCTCTCCGGGGAACGCTCTAATTTATTGAGTGTCTCAACATTTATCAACATGAACTCATTACAGAAGTTATACATTTTTTCACTATCAGTATGCAACAAAATTTTGCAACATGAATTAGTTAGTAGTTAGTACCTATTGACAAGCTCAAAACCCTCTCTGAGCAACTAAGATGATCATCTCAGAGCCAAGAAAGACCATTTCAATTGGTTAGTAGTTAGTACCTATTGCAATTCCATACATTTCCAAAGTGTGGTTTCCAAAATTTAGACATATTTTCATTTCTGTGGTCTTAAAATAATGGCCATCTCAAAGCCAAGGAAGACCATTTCAAAGTCAAGTAATGGTGATCCACCGAGGAGGTGGAGCATCGTAAAATGGCGACAATAGAAGGGAACAGAAAACTACCACTTATAGCTTTAATAACACAGGTATTTTGGGAAGCAAAACTAGGCTTAAATAAATATCGATGTCGTTGAAATCACTAAAATAATGAAATATGAAGTCTTACTTCATGTGAAGCTTCTGAAACGTCGATCTTGTGTTTCAGTCAACGTGTTTGTAGTTTCATTGGTTAGGGTTTTTGTCCTACAATGGAGGTGAGAGTGTTTTGATAGTTGAATAAGCTAAATAATACGTTAAAAGTAATTTGGGATGTATTTAGATTTTTTTTTAACTTATAAGGTCGAAATTGTCATTGCATAGTAGGGTGCATAAGTCATTTAAATTAAATTTTAATGTGAAGTGTATTCAACATTATGTGGGGTGCTAATAAAAAAAGGGGTATGATATCCACACACCCCTTTTTACTTCTCACACACCCTTCTAATTTTCGGCCATCAGATCGGATGAAATAAAGAAGATCAACGGACATAAATTAACAAGGGGTGTGTGAGAAGTAAAAAATGGTGTGTGGATAGCACACCCCTAAAAAAAAGTCTAAGAAAATATGCAAACACATGTGTACCCAAAAATCTTTACAAAATATTTTCTTATATAAGATACTTACCATATTGAGAATTAAAACTTACAATATTTTCATAAAATTTAATTTATGAACACTATAAAATTATAAATAAAAAAGAGCGACATTTATAAATTGGCAGTACTTCTTCATATTGTTTTCGTACTTCGGCAACGAGTAAAACAAAAAATGGAGAATCAAGGCGTGAAAACGAGAAGATGAGTGTAAATGAACAGTGTGTGTGAACCCTAAATCAAACACATGCATTGCTCCGCTTTAACTGATAAAGGGGTGGGAGAAGCTTCCAAACGCAAATGTTCTTGCTCAGCGACTTCCCACGAACATTAGACTGGCCTAGCTACTACAGGTGTATCCTTCTGTGAAAGAAGCTTAATAAGAAGCCCAATGTCGCTCAAACCAAGCCCATGTATTTGTTGAAGAGATTAATCCAGGTCGATCTCTGTTAGTCAGATGTAAATTAATTTATTCACGAGGGTTAACTAATCTTCATATTAATATTCCATAGTCTGATATATTAATGTGTCGACGTCGCTGCATGGCGGGCCATTTGCAATCCAAATCTTATCTACAAACACACAGATAGTGCCAATAAACAACATATACATGTGCGTTTCTGCAGTTATGCCGCTTCCATGTTGGAAGGTTTAATTTGATCGATTCAATGTGCATTGACAAGCTGAAAACTAACCCCAAAAAAATGGGGATGATTGTGACTAAATGACTAGACATAAGACGATGATGGGTAGGCTAAGGCTATACCCTATATCTAGATAGAAGTTTAGTTGGTAGCTCTTGACTGCAAGGGAAAGGGATCCGGATCCCTTCCACCAAATCTACCAATTCAAGTCCTTAAAATATGATCAAACGGTTAAAATTATTATAATTTTTTAAGAAGACTCATGTTTTAATTGTTTGATCAAATTTTAAAAATCTAGATCGATAAATTTGGTAGAACTGCAAGTACGTCAACAAACTTATATTTTAAGAGCTATATTTATAGGAGATGCTCTAACATGCATGACTATTGACTAATCATTAAAGATAGACTTTATGTTCTAGTTTATTTTGTTGAAAAATATAAATGTTGAAATCGAAATTATCAACTCAACAGTGATATTTAAACGCACAAAATTGACTCACTTTTTAACACATTTTTTAACAGAGATAGCTCAGTTACAAACAAAATAAGGGCGTAGCCACCTTAAGCTAGAGTGGGCTCCAATCTAGTGAAATATTCTAGTAAATAATTTTTTGGTGCTATATTCTAATGAAATTCATCCACTTAACGAAAATTAACTCATGCCATTGAACTAAAAATTACTCTATACTCTAACAACTCCTAAAACAAAACAAGTCACTTTATACAGATAAAAGAATGCTAGCTCACCCTTAAAAAAATAGAAAAACTAACGAAAAGTTAAAAAAAAAAAAAACTTTAGAATGTAAAAATGTGATTTTTCGTTAAAATTAAACAATACCAAAAGTGTTTCGTGAAAACTCCCTCAAATAATTTCGCCTTGCAACAAGGCCCCATGTGCTTGCCGCGTGCGACCCTTCATTAGGTTAACTATTAGGAGTACTTGTTAAGGAGCCAAATCATGGACACGGTAAGGAAATATATAAGTACTTCACGTGATGCTCCTGATGGAGACCATGTGGTTGGAGCACAACTGATGCACCCCATCCTCTCTCTCTCTCTCTCTCTCTCTCTCTCTCTCTCTCTCTGACATGGCTGTATCCTTCATGGATCATATACATACAGCTCAGCTGATATGGCGCCACCATGCCTCCCAATTATTTGTGCCAAGTGCCAATTTATCAGAAACTTGTGATTAATTTTCCTCAAATAATTTTTAAATTTTCTTGCTATTGATAGGATAAGCATTCGAAAGTTGATCAGCATATACCAACTGGTTTTTGGTCTAATGCCAACTAGTTCTTAATCTAATAATAAACTGAATGATTATCGTCTATTTATGCATATGTTCGTTCACAAATAATTCGATCGATCAACTGCAACCACCTGCATATATATGTACATGCTGGCTTATCGCCCTCCTCTACTATTTACGTATAATATCTCAAATTAATCCTGGCTATAATGCATGGGAGAAAATATGTATATGAAGCACGTAAGTACAGGTACGTAAGTAACTAATTAAGGCTTCAAAGTTTTAGTTATACGCATATATACCATACAGCTGGTGACCAGAAGCCACCAAAAGCAGAAATATAAAGTGTTGTTTTACAGCTCAAAATTAGAATGATGCGAAAATTTGGTTTGTATTACCTATTTCGTTTTGGAATTCTATTTTGTTAGAATATAGTAGAATAGGAATGTGATTATTATAATTGATTATATTGAGGATTCCTTTTCTTAATAGAATTCTTAGATTAATTGTGATTAGGGTTACAACTATATATATTTCCTCATAGTGAGAAGAATAGTATTAAAGCATTTACGAATTCTAACTTGACATCATGAGCTAGGTTTGAAAAAAAACAGAAAAAAATAATAATAATTGAAGAACATGCGAACTGCCGTGACAAGGTGACTATGAAGGATGAAGATTATGTGAAAGCGCGCGTACAGACAATCGATTGAACGCCAGAGAATGCATATTTTTTTGGCTGGCCTCGAATCCGAATTTGAAAAAATTCGAGGTGAAATCTTGCGCAAGGATCCTGTTAGTGTTCCCTAGTTGGAAGAAGCCCATGTGTATATCCGTCGCAATGCTCTTCGTTGAGAAAAAAATGAATAGTAAGTCTGAATCTGCTAAACTGGTCAACACTGAACCAGTCTCCTGAATGCCAATTTGGTGAGAATCAATTTATGAGTTTGGGAATTATAGAATAATTTGGGGGGAGACTACTTCGTTTGTTTTGGGTTCTCTATTTGTTTGGTTTAGGCATTGTAATTTGTGAGATTTTGATTGTGAGAGTTAAACACTTCTTTGTAATCTTCATTTGTTAATTTAATGAAATTCTTCGCCGTGATTCACCCATAACATAGATTTTACGCTGAACATGTAAATCTCTTGTGTTTTTATTTTGAGATTGTTTAATTCTTCGTGTTCGCCTATGATGTTGATATTTACTACGTAGTTTGTTAAAATTCGCTTCTACTTACACATAAAAGTACAACATAAGGGAACAACAAGATTTTACTATACTATGTAATGGGCAAGCTTTGACAAAAAAAATTGTATATGGCAAGCACATTATGTCATCAATATTATTATTCAAGAAAACTAGCTATACATGTATGAGAAGAAAAAAATCAATAGTACGTTACTGTTGGGACAATTATGTCCGTACGAAGATTTGACTGAAGTTGATATTATAATTTGACATCATATGCTCAAAACCTCTGGCTTTGCTTATGCCTACGTTAACTTACACTCCATCATCCAGCTGCCCCCATATTCACATATATATCCAATTAGAGTCACGACCTTCACACACATAGGAAGCAAACTCATTAAGTCAGCGGAAGAGGAAGGTACACAAGCTGCAGAAACATACCTTAATATTTGCCAAGAACTTATAAACACATTTTCAATTTCAAATAATTTCCTAGATTTTCAAACAGTTGCAATGGTGGTGTTAGGGCTAAACAAGCGCGTTTTTGCGTTCGTGGTTTTGATCTTCATCATCTCAATCGTCGTTGTTGATGGTAGACATATGTTCATTTTACTCTCATCAAATTCTAGTTTTACTTTCCTTATACTTAATTAGATTATGGTAAATTCTCTTTTTCTTTAATTAATATGATATGATAATATTTTCCTTGTTAACTTTCACGCAACGCATCATCAGGAGTTATAGGGGTCGACGAAAAAAGTGCAGATCTTATTCAAGACGAAGCCGCCAAGACCATTCATCCAGATTCATTCAAAACAAAACGAGAGAAAAATCTCATAACTGGACAAGATTTGGAGTTCCTGGTCATGGATTACACCCCAGCTAGAAGGAGGACCCCCATTCATAACTAATAGTGTAATATATAATTAATATGGCTTTCATTTGTATTAATACACTAGTAATTTGTATTAATCATCTATCATATTATTCACCTGGCCAATATAGCCACAATGACAATAGGCATGCATGAGTTTATGGCGAGGATTCCAAATTTCAAATTCCTGTATATCTTTTCTGTATTGTCATTGTTCATATTTATTTGGGGCAACTATATCTCACCCTGCATGGATCTATTTGAATTTTTCTAATGGAAATTTAAACCTTTTAAAATATATATATTTTTTATTATAGTGAGTTTAATCATCCATCATATTGTTCCTCATATTACTTATGATATATTATAGTGAAACCTCAACTTACTTAATTTTATTGTTAATAAAATAATAAAAAACTATGAAAACAAATTCGTGGATCGCTCAATGAGTTCACCGTTTTTGTTCTGAAATAATTGTCAAATTCTTATTACCAAAAATGTTTGGCTGTAAATTTCAATCAATTTTTTTTTTATCAATAATAAAAAGTTATGAAAACAAATTCGTGGATCGTTCAATGAGTTCACCGTTTTGTTTTAAAATAATTGTCAAATTTTTATTACCAAAAATATTTGGCAGTAAATTTGAATCAATTAATTATGTAGAGGATGACACGACAGGCAAAGTCTCGTAAAGGATAAATTTTTTCTTCCTTTTTATTACTTTGGAAGTGTTCTAGTCCGGATCCTCTTTGTGAGGATTTCAGAGATCTGTGAATCTTATTTGTTTATCGTATATCATGCGGCTAGAAATTATTTTAAATATTTTTATTCAAAAATAAACATAAACAATATTTGACAAAAACTAATCACACAATGTACGATAAACGAACACAATTTACAGATCTTCAGAATTATCGTAAAAATGATCCGAAGAGGATCCTGTTGGGTTTTTAGCTATTCTAATTTGGTATTAAATAACTTGGTCTTATACAGAAAGTAAAAATGTCAGTGATCAATTGCGTTGAATGCTTCAAGAGAAATAATTTAACAGGTGAATGTGATCCACCGGGGAAGAGATCATCCCTGGATCTCTCCCACCAAAGCCACCAAGTTCACTCATCCGGATCCTTAAAATTTTGTTTAACAGTTAAAATTATTATAATTTTTTAAGAGATTCCTTATAGCCGTTGGATTAAATTTCAAAATTCAGATGAGTGGACTTTAACTTTGGTGGGAGAGACCGGAAAGGATCTCTTCCCGATCCACCGCTTAAAGGATATGCTAGGCATGCACGTAGCATTACTCCTGGCCACAAATACTTGTTCATATATGCAGTATAGATTTTACTCCTGACATCTTGTAGTACAAGGTAGAAACTTAAACTAGCAGTTCTTATATCTCCTCCGATCGCAGATTCTGTCCTCTTTTTCTCCTCTCGCTCTCTGTACAACTCGTTGCTCGATCCCCTGCCCGCACGGCGTCTGGCAATACAATTCATATGCAACAGACCATGCCAACCTCAACAAGAGCAGCATGAGGAATATTGAGTGCAACTGGAGGCTCTCTGCAATTTTTATCAAGAAACACATAAGTCATGATCAGCAATCGCTTTAGAATGTCTGATCCGTCACGCACTGCTAAATGCACCTGCCCTAAGAAGTATGCAGTCCCACTCTCCCTAGCATCAATCAGTTCTTGCAGCTCCTCCCTCACAGATACGTGCATTTGCGGACTATTCGGAGGCAACATGAACCGGACTTTTTTTCTCATCACCGGCGTAAAACCACTCTCGATTGCATCACCTAATGGAGACCGAGTTTCGTTGCTCGCCATACTTACGCACTCCATCTCATATGAATTTGTATCATTCAAGGGAATCAAAGCACTTCCGGTTCCATCAGCTGGTGGGTTTCCAATAACCACCATTCTTCCTTCGGATGAATTTTGGAAATCAAAATCATTTTCTTCCATGCAAATGAATTCACCAATCGAACTAATAATCTGTTCTTCAAAATTATCAGTGTCCCTAATAGGATCACAATATCCATATCTCACAACACAGCGATATATCTTAAAATTCCTCGGGCCAACCCTGCCAACAAGATACCTCCGACTTGGAGGGACATAAGGCATTGGCAGAGACTTGAAGGACACGAAAATCAAAACTTGGTGAAACGCTGGAAGATTGGTAATGAAGTGTGAGAAGAAAGCTGGAATTCCTGTCACTATATCAGAATAAATGAAACCAATCCCGGGCACCCTAGTAACTCCGAGGCCCGGGCTAATGCCTATAAGCCATTCTGCAGAGACCTTGTTTTGTATATCAAATTCGAGCTTCTTCTTGGTTCCGTAATGCCATGAAAGCATGATAGTCAGGGACATTGCCAAAAGGACAACCAAATACCAAGCTCCCTTGTGAAAATTCAACATACAAGCCGATACATACATCACCTCGATGGATCCAAAGAATATTAGACAGCAGACCGACTCAAACAAACTTTTCTCCCAATATAGCGCAATTACTAGTGACATGAGACAAGTCGTTACAAGCATTCCAGAACTTACAGCCAAACCTGTGGAAGATTTAGCTAACATCGATTAGACAACCAATTGTTGTTACAAGCATTTCTGGGGAGAATAAAATGTTGGAAATTTTGAGTAGAAATTTCATTGTCTCACATTAGTTATTACCAAAAGGTGTCTTCACTTTATAAAGTTTTGTTCCTTATAAAAAGTGATTAGAGTAATGGACCAAAAAGAATAAAATTGGGCTCAATCTTAGGATTAGACTTTGGGTGTACTAATTAATAATTAATTATCAAAAGAAGGGCCATGGGCCTTGGGGGTCAGGCTCTAATAATTAAATTTTTTAATTAATTTTGGATTTGATTAATTAATTATTTTTTATATCAACAGACTCATCTTTCAGATGAAGTTTGAAGTGATGAAAGAACGTTAGAGAACAAAACACCCATCTGAAGAGAAGCATCACATTCTCATACCTATTGCGAACAGGCATAAACCTATTATATATACATCTATCTACATGACATTTAGAACACAGAAAAATAAAATTCTTCTTCTACAATCCCAAACATTCTTACTGAGAGAACCACAAAGAAATTCGCCAGAAGTCAAGTTTTCTGGTACTAGAATTTTGACTTAGATCGTTGAATCTGGTGAAGCACACGTCTGTAGAACTACAAGCACTGAGTAGGGATGAAATTTCTGTTTCAAGGACATTACGGTACGCAAGCCTCGATCTTCAATTCGTCTGCCTAATATTATTTCATTTTGTTCATTCTATGTTAAATTATTTATTCACAATTATTATTTATTAGCATATATAAATTTATCGTTGATTGTTGATATTTATCCGACATAAAACATGTCAGGAATTTTTGTACTAGTTAACTATAGTACAAGAAGATAGCTAGTTGGGAAATAAATACCTGTCGCGCTACCAATTTTGATAATATCATGGAAACCAATCGTAACAACGAGGCTTAGAACCATCAATAGCCAGTTGATATCAGGAATGTAGACCTGCCCGTGTATCTTATCTGATGTATGAATAACTTTTACTCTCGGAAAACAACCAAGTGCCAGGCACTGATTTATAATGGAGAAACATGCTGTTATGGTTGCCTGGCTTCCCACAACAGAAGCAAGAAGGGAAAATGCTACAAACCAGTGGCGCATTTGTTCTGGAATTTTCATACACAATCCATTCCACATGTTAGAAATCTCAAAAATTGCAGACAAAACAAGTAAATAAAAAAATCATACAACTTACTAGGTATGGATTGACTGAGATGATTGAAATCTCTAACATCCAAGTTTTTGGAGATATATGCAGCCTGACCGGCGTAGCTTAAAACAAGGACTGGATATATGAAGCATACAAATGTCATCTGCAGCACGACACACCGTCCGTAAGTTCATTTCAATTGCCAACTACACTTTTAGATATGATTGAAAAAATATGAGATGTATCAAAAACCTTGATTGATTTCCTTCTGAAATGACCTAGAGATGTAAACATTGCTTCCGATCCTGCAAAAGTGAACAGTATTTCTGGATGAAAAACTAGGTCTAGTGAAAACATATGATTCCAAAATAAAACAAAAGCATTATATGAAGCTCATGGGAATATATGGCTGAAGCGGAATAGAATAAAACCTGCTACACATAAAGCAATGCTGCCTAATGACCTCCAACTTTTGCTGTGAATATTCCTGAAAATCTGTACATGTACATGGGGGAGGTAGCAAGGAGAATTTCTTTGTTCCAGTGGAAAATGTTATATACACCCCCTCCACCAATAAAGAACAGCCAAACGACGATAATTGGAGCAAAAATAAACCCAATTTTACGAGTCCCGTAGTGCTGTAGTGTGAAGAGGCACACCAATATAGCAGATGCAGTGGAAACCGGGACATCTGAAACAAATAGGATATCCAAATCGTGACCAGTATAGAAGATGCCGTGGGAAGTGGATAAACTTTAGCTAGCACGATTGACTGGCTCAGAAATGTGTTATTTACTGTCTATATGTTAATTTCCAGGTGTGATGTTAGTTATCATGGGAAAAGTATTCAACCTTCTTTAGGTCACTGACTACGAAACAACACAAGCAAGAAAGTGGAACAAAGTCAATGGATGTATCTACTTGATGACAGAATACTCACATTTCTCTAAAGCTCTAGATATGGCCTCCCTTTGTTTTTCCGACGCTGAAACTGGTTAGAAATTAAGAGCCACGAGATACATTTGTGTCAGAGTAGTGGCTGGCTATATGGCGATTAAAGGATGGTTGAAAGAAATATATATATCTGTAACTGAATTTACAGGCAGCTCTTACTTCTGTGTGAAATATCCGACAATGATCTTTGAATTCCAGATGAAACTGAATAGACTGGTTAAGAAAAAGAACAGAACAAATCATTTAATCTATAAAATGATATTAACTGTACATATGATCAAATTTGGCATAAATTCGATGCAGAAAGTAAACTTTTTTATAAATTTCCAGTATAATTTATAATTAAAAAAAAATGAGGAATGCCAAACCAGAAAGAGTTGGGGTAAGCACCCCAATGCCAATTGTCATGCAGGAACCGAAAAGAGCCAGGAACAGCATCAAATAATGGCCACATCTAAGCTTTTCTATGGCTCTTCGAGCCCTTGATTCTGCCTTTATCTTGAAAGGACTTCCCGTCTCATAATGCATAACGTCATTAGCACTACTTTCATTTGGAAGCAAACCAACTTTGGCATGCCTACACAGAAGTGAATACAAAGCAAAAGTACCACCTACAACAGAGTCAAAGTAAAAAGTTAATCTAATGGGAAATCCTCGAAAATAAATTCTTGCACTTGTGACGAAACTAGAACATTACCTTCTCCATTGTCATCAGCTGTTAATACTATAAATGCATACTTGAGTAAAGAAATGATGTTAATAGTCCAGAAAATGAAGGAGAATAGTTCATAAACGGTCTCCTCTGATGTGATATCATCTGCAGTCAATGTCCCGAAGACGTATAAGGGAGCAGTACTCATTTGACCATATATTACTCCAAGGCTCTGAAATGACAACAGAAGTGTGTGTTTCCATGTCTCCTGCATATTATCAACTCAAAATTTAGGTGATGTATACTGATCGCAAAATCAGAATGGGAACTGTAACACTATGTTTGGATGAGGGAAATAAACTTGGAATTTGGATAAAAGTCAGAATTTATAAATTTACATGCACCAATTCCTTTGTTTGGATTCATAAACATAGAAATTTAGAATTTTCGCGTGAAAAAAAACTTGGAATTTGGAACCTCCAATTACCAAGTTTAAATTCTATGTAAATATGCGTTATTTCCCAATTTCTATGATTGAGAGTTTAAAAATAACAATGTCCGTATTCAATTCCATTATTCTTTTAGGTTAACCAAACAAGAAAATTCACAAATTCTAGAAAATAAATTCTCATCATTTCAATTACCATCATTTAAAATTTGTTAGTAATCTTAAATGTCTTCATCCAAACATAGTGTAAGTAGATCCAATCGATCAAATCTAGACAGATATTAACCACTGTCTAGTGATACTTCTCTTCTCTATTCAATTTGATTTCACAAGATCTAGTTTCGTTCAAGTAACGGATTCTAGCCTATTGAAAATTGTCCTAAGTTCGAAACTTTGAATCCGCATCTCCGTTGATAAAAAAAAAACTCCGATTCGGACAGTAAATGCACGAGAACACAGTCTTAAGCAGTATTCTGTAGATAACATTGAAAGTTTGGATCTTGGCTATTTTTTCTTTTTTCAATTTCATGGTAACGGATTAAAAAAATACTAGCAACAGAAATATCAGATCAATGCAAGTCAAGTGAGTACAACAACCCGAAACGGAGATGGTAGAGTGAGATCATGGCTCAATGCTTCAGCTAGTTCATAAAGCCATTTAGTACAAACCAGACAACTTTTTCCAATAAAATCAAGTAAAAAAAAAATTACATACAAGTTTTTTAGCTAAAAAGTTACCTTGAACTGGTTAGGAGCAATGAGCTGAGGTTCCATGGACGTCTGAGATCAAAAGACAGATTGAAAACAAAAAGTTAAAGCGATGGATACTAAACAAACGTTATTGTGCAGATTTTATATATAAGAAACTAGAGAGAGAGAGAATGCCAACTGCCAAGCGACTTACACAATGCTTCACACACGGAGTTCACAATACAGAATTTAAACCTCCAATTTACACACAGAGAGAGAGAGAGAGGGAGGGGGAGAGAGAGAGAGAGTGATGTTACAACTTACATCGTAATGAGGGGATGATAATATTTCATATTTATATACACCGGTAGTTGAGATGGAATGCCGGTTTGACAGTGACGCCTATGATTTTTAATGAATAATTTATTCGAAAATTTTAATCAGTCATATATTTTTTCATTAGAACGAATCAATAGGAGATATGATCTAAGCTGCATAATAGACCGGTCATATTAAATTAAGTACCTACTCATTATCTGATAGTCGATCTTAAGTCCTACCTACGAATAGAAAAAAAACGTAATACCCCGTGTCGAGATATTAATATTAGAGAAAATCACATACACATCCACATCTCACATGCCTTTCCGTTTGGGAGGTGGGTTTGGGGTAGGAGGGAGGAACCTCCCACATGTGACATGTTCGTTTTGTGTGATTGATTTCGCCTGTTTGTATCGTCTGTTGTTTATTTGGAGTTTCGCCTGTTCGTATCTTCTGTTGTTTATTTGGAGTGGACTTGTAGTTTGTCCAACTTTGGTTGTTCATCTGTTTCTTGACTCTCGAAGGTTCGAAACCACAACCAATCAAACGGTCAACATCAAATATAAAAATATGCCTATTGGTGCGGTGTGAAAGGAACTTGGGAGTTACGGAGCCATCTGAAGTGAGAGATAGAGAGCAAATATATATCCAGTCATATGCTAGAATCTTTTTATCAACAAAAAAAAGTTCAATAAGACAGTTTTTCATACTACGTAGGACCAGCGAGGGATTTGAAGAGATGTATCTCAATTATATATTAGAATCCATCTATCTTTGTGCGAAGATAAACTTCGCTAGGACAACTTTATTATTGCAGTTTTCACCCTATGTAGGATCTTATGGCGAGAGGTGTCTCACAAATATGGTCGTAGCATCACTCCCCAAATTTTTTATTTAAATGGTATCAATCTTCATTCATTGTTAAACCCAAAACTGAAAATGTGATATATCTCAGTTATATATTAGAATTCATCTGCCTTTGTGCAAAGATAAACTTCGATAGGACAACCTTATTAGTGCAGTTCTCACCCTATGTAGGATCTTATGGCAAGAGATGTCTCACAAATAACATGATCGTAGCATCACTTCCCAAATTTTTTATTTAAATGGTATCAATCTTCATTCATTGTTAGATCCAAAACTGAAAATGTTTTGTTACATGACGAGAAAGAATGAGAAGTCTTGGATTAGATGTATGTCATCCACTTTCACAAACCATCTCTAAAACAAAAATGCAACAACGAGCAGCCCACCAAGACAACTTTAAAATGAAAAATGGTTTCCATTTGATCCAAAAAGTCACTCATACAAAAACGTGGAGCTAACTAACATTTCTTTGGGCTACAAAATTTAATCACCCCCAAATGCAAAACAAAAGAAAACAAAAGGCAGAACATCTACTAAAACTACTACAAATCCCGCAAAGCCGTCGGTCCTAAACTTTTTTTCATCTGTTTCTCCATTCTATCTTTATTCATAAGCCTTCTCCCAGTCATCAACCACTTCAGGTGTTTCTGCAATAACTCCAACAGGCTGCCCTTCAAAAGTGGAACTCGAACTCGAACCACTCGCTTTCGAGTCCAAGGCCGAATTCAATGGACCCAAAGACAGTTTTCTATAGTCCTCAACTCTGAGAGATGAAGCGGATGAGCCCAATGCCGTGTCACCGTCCAGTACACTCCATCGATTTACTGAGGCAGCAATTGGTGCTTTTTTATTCCACACGTTTGCCGGCGCATCTGTAGAACTGCCAGGCCACTCTTCCTCGCCCCATGAATCTTCCCTCCAACCGGACTCTCGTGTAACAGTCTTCTTCCACGGATTACCCATCAGCACTGCAGAAGCTCCTCCTTCCCTAGATGTCCCCAATCCACCCCAAGCATTAGAACCTGATGCCGCCATAGATGCACTGCCATTGGAGTGAACAACAATAGCGCCATGATATAGTGCACCATTATCCAACCTCCTCATTGCAGTTGCTGCTCGAGCAGGGTCGTTGAATACGGCTAGTGCATTCTTATCGTTCAACCAGACTAACTCACACTCCCCACCAAACCTCAATACAAGTGCACTTATATCTGCATCTCTAGGGAGATCTGGGAATGAAACTACAAGCCTGGGATCCATGTCCACTAAATGATCATAAGACGGAGGCTTGGGTGCACTCACTGTTGTTGTGCCCTTAACCCCAAGTATCCGAGCGGGGGCTTTGGATTTAGGTGTAACATGAACCACAATAAATCGCTTGGGCTCCCAGCCAGCGGCTTGAACTGCAAGCTTCCATCTTTCAGCGATCATCCGAACTACATCCCTCTTCTCCTTCAGCATCGGGCAGAAAACATGAACCTTGAGACCACTTGTAGCACCTCTACTCTTGCCGAGCACCAAGTACTTGCATCTCTCCTCCACAGATAATACCCACTTGGGATCGCGTCTAAGAAGGTCTGAAAGCAACTCAGAAACAGCAGAACTCTCACCAAAATGGAGCGCATCCAAGTTTGGAGGAGTTATATCAAAAGCATCTGCAAGAACCCGTTTCCGCTCCATCTTAGCACATTCATCATCACACATAAGCTTCCTCTGTCCGAGCGGGATATTCTTGCTGGTTGATTCAATTGGTTGCAGTGGTGCTGGCAACCTTTGAACAATGGAAGCTTCATAAACAGTATCGGCCTTGAAACTAGCATTGCTTCCACCGGAATCACAAGGAACACTAGCTGTCATCCGGCCACAAGAACAAGTGATTGTGACAGGAAAATCACAGCTGCTATCAGGACAAGAAGCATAAGGGTGACAAAGTGAAGTACATGTATGCCTGCAATCTCTCCTAGGAGCACCACATATCTGTCCACAAGAAGTTTTTGAACCTTGTTCTGCCAAACAAGATGTATCACAGGGAGGCGGGTGACAAGTCCTGCCACAAGCATGCATACCACACTGCCTTGTCTTCCCACAGAGCTTGTTACATTTGATGTCCCTCGACCCACAAGGAATGTTCCTGAGGACCACATGCCCACCAATGCACTCCTTTGCCACAGGCACCGCACATGGTGGACAGTCTCCAAAGTGGCAGCTGTGAGAGGATGTATGCCCACAAGGCTGAGGGACTGAACACGGGAGCTGACATGATGGGGGAGGGGTACCGCATGGCAGTGGAGGAGGGATTGAAGTCCTCCCACATGCACAGGTCAAGTCCGTGAAGATTGTATCAAGGCAGGGAGGGCAGTGGCCGCTGTGACAAAGCGATTCGCAAGAATGCTGACCGCACCTTAACTTCTTCCCACAGGACATAGAGCAAAAGTGAGGATCCCAATTCCCCAAGAGAGCATTATTCAAATTAGAAAGAGGACAGCACCTCTCGCTGCACCTGTGCCTTCCACAATTCTTCTTCCGCCCACAAGGCTTATCACAAGTGAATTTCTCATTCTCCATTGTGGTTTTAAAGCATTCCGCAGTCCGAGAAGTTGACCCACAACGACATTTTTGGGTCACTTCAACCAAACAAGGTGGGCAATCCCCAGTATGGCACACCTCTTGACACTGGTGCATCTCACAAGGGAGGGACTTGCTACATAATTGAGAACAGGTTGGAATCGGATCCAAACAACTCCGTCGTTCCTCTTGCAAGCTTGTCTTCCCACAGTGGCATGTCTTAATCCTAGTTGGCATTAAATTGCAATCTCCGCACGGCCCTGGATGGCAAACCTCACTGCAGGAATGATTACCGCAGCTAAGCATTTTTCCACAGGTGGAACTACATGAAAAAACACCATCTTCTGCTTTCACCTCTCCCTTAACAGTCATGTCTCCACAGAGAACAACCTCCACCTTTTTCTTGCAAAAGCAGGAAGCATCAACCAGAACCTGACAAGGATCACAAGGACCCACATGGCAAGTCCGCTCGCAGCGATGACGCCAACAATCAAGCAGCTTATTACAATCCTGACCACAAGTCAGAACAGATGCCCGGTCAGAACATCTCGTTGTGATTGTTTTCTTTCCACAAGGGCATAAACGTGGTGGGGCAAATGCTTTACACGGAGGGCATGGACCTGGGTGGCACTGCAAGACACAAATGTGAGGGCAAAGATCCTCCTTACTCACACCATTGCCTGGGACCTCCCTCTCGAGTTGCTTCCCGCAAGGCTCACCACACGAATGCGGTGTCAAATACAAATCTGAAGGCGGGTCTGTCCTCTTGCCACAAAAGCAAACATATCGAATCTCCTTTGAAGATGTGAGCTGGACAGACTGACATCCAGGACACCGCCAATTAAACCCCTGATTCTTCTCCGCAGACATGTCAATAGAAGTGGGAGCTCGAGCCCATTTCTTGATGCAATTCAGATGGAAAATTGAGTAACAGCTTGAGCAGGACCAAACAGGTGCAGACCTCCTCACCATTTCATAACAAATCATGCACTCGACAGTGCCCCTTGTCAGCTTATCCTGAATTTCTTGCACAAGCTGGGGCAAATTCGAGTCCTTCAATCCCTTTTCCTCCTGATTCTCACTCCTTCCCCTCTCCCTTCTATGGTTCACTGACTGGCCCATATGGCCTTTAATAACGCCATTATTTCCTCCTCTGTGTGGCCGAATCTCTGATGGTGGAACAGAGCTATGATTAGGCAGGCCAGCATTCCCATTCAGGTTGTTAGGATTGAATCTTGGATTAGGCTGGCTGAGATTGCCATTCAGGTTGCTTGGATTAAATCTTGGATTAGGCTGGCTAACATTGCCGTTCGGGTTGTTTGGATTGAATCTTGGATTAGGCTGGTTGGCATTGACATTCGGGTTGTTCGGGTAGACTCTTGGTGGCGGGTTAACAGCAGCAGTGGTAGTGGTAGGGTCGGTACCTCTCAGCACCCACTCTCGACGAGCAGGCTGAGTAGGCTGAGTAGCAGGCTGAGCAGGAAACCTGGACCTATCCCTTCGCTCATTTTGGACACGAAAACTCATATTCTGCGAAACCTCCAGGCTATCAGACCTCCTATTCTCCGACAGTGTGCCGAAATAGGAGATCGAATCAGAACAAAATAACTCCTCAAAGAAATCCACGCCCAGAAAACCAACCTGTAACTGCAATCAATGAATTCAATTTGGAGTTAAATTAATTAACAAATTTCAACAAACAAAACACTAAACATTCATGGGTTCACTAAACTAAAACGAATTCATATTTGATTCCAATCAAGCTCAAAACTTTCCAACATTTTGTGACATCCCAACAAGAAAAAAAACATTCAAATATAATTCAAATCAAGCTCAAAACTTTCCAGCAATTTCTGAAAACCCAACAAGAAAAACAGAAACCCTAATCGAAACAACTAAAAATCCGATTCGAAGTCCAAAAAAAAATAAAAAGAGAAACCAAAATAAATTAATCAAGTAATTACCTGATCGGATTTGTCCCACCCAGATGATAAGAAGCAGAGAGAAAATTTCCCGCACTTCCGGTGAGTCTCCCTCTTTCTAGATTTTATTTCTGGGATTTCAAGTGAAAAACAACAACAACAGAAAAATTGAAAATATTCTTCCCTCTGTGTGTGCGTTGGTGTTGTGCGGCGGGTCCCTAAGCAGGTGGATATTTTTCAGATGGGTTTGTCTCGGAGACGACACAAACCGACCCGGAGAAGAAACGGGATGAGAGAGGGGGAGAGGAGAGAGAGTGGTTTTATAGTGAGGGTGTGACTTGGGGGATAAGGAAACAGGAAAGGGGAAGGCAGCGAGGGTAGTTCGTCACCGAAATCGCAGACTCTGACCTGACCCTTCATTTACTGCCACTTGTATATAGTCCTCTGACTCGTCTCCAAGTATTTGCGTGCTCACCACGAACCACTCCGGCCGCCAGGCCCACCACCGTTCCCTTTGTGTGCAGGTCACTCCCGGGCCTCCCCCGTTTTATTCACTTGACCCAAACATATGTGTACTGGTCTACATCCAATCTCATTTCCATGACCCAATAGCAACAAGGCGCAAAATGGAATGGGCACTTTAAGAATCAACAACAACAAAACATTTTTCTATATGAATCTTAGAACGTCATTATATTCGGTTCTGTGTCATATCCTCTGTTAGAAATCATGATAGAAAATACTTTAAATCATAAGCGTTTTCTTAGAAGTCCTTTTGTTAAAAGCATATCAAAGACTATTGGTCAAAGCCATGTTTGGGACTGCTTTTGATAGGCTAAATGCGCTTTTAACAATTAAAAAAAGCTATTAATTCCATTTGATTAAAAAAAAAAATGTGATTGAATTGCAAACGCGTTGTGCTGATTATCTTTAATGTGTTTCTAATATAAGAACGTGAACGACAAAGTCTCATATAAGTGATGGATTTAAACATTGCTAGAGCTTACAATGAGTTTAGCTATTTTCTATATTGTCAATTGGTTTTATAGTGGAACCTCAACTTTCTTTATAATATTAGAGTGAGGTTGGCCTACGTGTGAAGTGACGACCATTAGGGGTGCAACTCAGACGAGTTGGACATGTTGGATGGTCAACCCAACCTTCACAATTCGGGTTTTGGTTGGGTTTGACTCCATGCGGGTTTAGTATGGTTAGGGTTTATTCTAGTTGGGTTCGGTTTTGCCCAATTTTATTGAGTTCAATCTTATAACACTTTATTTTGCATGATTTTTCAAATTTTAAACCAAACAACGTTAATATTAGTTAAAATTTCATGTGCACATCACCATCCACACAAAAGTTATAGAAAACATCTTGGAGACTATTTCTAACGTTTTTAATCAATTAAATTACAAGACGTATATCAAAGCTTCAACCAAAAGAAATGTAAAAGTAACATTATCATTTATTATCCATATAAAACCGACAATAAACTTCAATTACAAAACTCATACATAACTTATATAATATGAAGTGGAATCGTTAATTTGTGCATGAGTGAATTCGAGCACAAAATCTGGTAGGGTTTAGGTTAACATGGGTAAGAAAGACATCGAACCAACCCAAAAAATGATCGGGTTGAAGTCGGGTCAGGTTTGGGCAGGGTTTTTTCGTTCTTACTCACTTGATCGGGTTTGAAATCGAGTTAGGCACCGGCGGATTTGGGTTGACTCGACCCAAGTTGCACATCTAATGGTCACATGTGTTTCATGTCACCCAATTTATGTTGTCTGTGTATTATCAATTGAATAAATCTAACAAAATCAACTGTTAAAATTAAATTAGAGTGTGCGAGTGGTTGTGTTTATCATTTTATGTATCTTTAATACAATGTAAGAATCATATCGAGTATATATGGAACTAGGGTTTTGCACAATTACATGAAAGAATCAAATTGGATTGCAAACAGAGGAGCTTATCTCATCGTTTTCAGTAGCAAGCTCTTTCAATTTGGCAGGTATATATTATATATACTTTGCTAGAAATAAGGAAAAGACTAGTATGTCATCAAATCCCACATGAGATATCAATAAGTGGGATTATCTTATGAGGTACAACTTTTGATCTTGTAGGTCACTAGTTAATGCAAACGTTTGATCTTCTTTAATAAAAATAACTCTTTCTAGTTTTTTTGGCAAGTTGTAGTTACACAAATAAAAAGCAAGATCAAGACTCTTTTCTATTTTGTTAGAGCATGTCAAATGGGAGCCTCATGGCTTAGGCAAACTGATAATCCTCCCTCAAAATTGAAAAACTGCTTCTAGCACAATAAAATTTGCCTAATCAAATTGAAGCCTAGGCGCCATATGAAGCCAAATCGTGCCCCATTCCAAGGCTAGTGAGGCCCATAACATTGTCAAATGGGGTTCTACATTTAAGAATCTCAACGGAAAATCCCACCTTAATTTTTAAAACTTCACAGTTAGGTGAAGGTAAAAATAAATATATTGAATGTTGATTTATGTACGAACTTGAAAAAACTGACCGAAAATTGTGAGTGTTTAATCCACATTTATTTTCTTGAAATATTTTATGTGAGCATTAAAGAAATCTTTACAAGGTATTTGGAAGCGGATTTACAATTTATTGAGCAACAAGTGTATATTTAGTATAATATTTAAGCTGAAAAGTAAAAAAATAAATGAAAAATATAGAGATGTTAACATTTATATTTAGTGTATATTTTTTAATTTTTTTTTAAATTAGAGATGTTAAAATTACCTATAGGTGATTCTTAAAAAAAAAGCAAAATTTTTGTTTTATTAAATAATCTTTCACCCTCTTTTGGTTGACAAAAATGTTCTATTAGTATGTAGTTTGGATTTAGATAAAAGAAAAATTAACTAAAAAAACAGCCCAAATATCTTTAAATTTAGATTTTAAATCGATCCGAGTTATAATAGATTTTTGTACAGAAAAATATATGTTAAAGAACATGAATATGATAGTTTGTTGTAATGGTAAGAGAAATAAAAACAAATAACAAAAATGTTCAAAAATGATTCATAATCTTGAATTTCAAAACATTTTTGTTAATTTTTCTTTTATTTCTTTTACCACTACAACAAAGTTACAAACTATCATATTCATGTTCTTCAAAATATATTTTTCGTGCATGGAGCTCGACTCGTTTTCTGAGCACCCGAGAGTTCACCTCGTTCTGTGTGCGTGGAGCTCGCTTTGTCTTGTATGCCTAGGTTCACCTCTTTTTACATATGAGGTGTCCGCATTAATTTTCGTGCCAGAAGCCCATCTTTTTTTGTCCTCGTTGTTCGGGCGTGCAAGGGGCTAACCTCGTTTTTCGTGCGCATGGTTGGCCTCGATTTGTGTGACGTATCTCACCTCGTTTTCATTGCGCGAGCTTACTTCATTTTGCATGCCAGAAGCCCACCCAGTCTTTTGTGAGCGGAGCTCGCCTTGTTTTGCACGAGTTGAGTTCGCCTCGTTTTGTGTGCGTTGAGCCCGCCTAACACCCATGTTTTTTGACAAAAATGCAAATATTTTATTTTCACAAAATATTTTTCCTGAGCATTAAGTTAAACTTTTTAAGGAATTTGGAAGCAGTTTTACGATGTATTGAGCAATAAATGTATATTTAGTAGAGTATTTAAGCTGAAAACTAAAACAATAAGTGAAAAATATAGTAGTGAGGCCAGAACATTGTCAAATGGGATAAACTCAAGAATCTCAACAGAAAGTCTCACCTTAATTTTCAAAACTTTAGTGAGGCGAAGGTGAAAATAAATGGATTGAACGGTAATTTATGTACGAATTTGCAAAACCTACTGAAAACCATGAGTGTTAATTCACTTTTTCTGTAAAAAATGCAAATTTTTTTATTTTTTCGAAATATTTTTCGTGAGCATTAAGGAAATCCTTATAATGTTGTCTATATGCGCATGTTTAGTAAAAGATAATCCTAGCAAACCAGAAAGTATTAGAAGTGTGAGATGAATTGAAAAGAAGGTTGTGTGAGAAGGGTTGGTTTCTCCTTAAGGTGTTATTGCTTTGGATTTTAGTTAAACAATGGAAAAACGAAGGTGTTTATATACGCATGTTCCATGTTGGTATAGAATCCTAGCAAAAATGAATAAGCTTTCCTGAAGGGTCTCTTTGTTTGGCTTCCAGCAAAACGTACGAAAGAAAAAGAAAGTTGTCTAATATGCATTTGTCGTGTGTTATTCATGTTGGGCATAGGATCCTTGCAAAATAAAAAAGTATTAAAAGTGTATCCATGTTCGTTTGGTCTACTGCACTCAAAATTTCTAAAAGATTACATGTATTATATATATACATATGATGATATCTTCTGTATACATGTGAGTAGCCAAAATTGCAGGTAAGACGAAAACTAGCATAGAGAAAGTCTTGCAGGCTTTGCAGCTATTCAGGGATGGTGCACACATACACATTGATGTGGGTGCATCATGCAGCAGCAGTACTGTTACCACTGCAGCAGCTCTCATGCGACGAGGAGGTGGAGGAGAAAGGTGATTTGGTTGGTTCTATTGAGATTTGCAAAAGCGAATTTGTTTGTTTCCAAAAATAATGAATACGAATTTTACAGACTGCAAAGGATTTTTCATTCCAATTAGAAGAGGATTAAACATTAAAAAAAGGCAATCATTATTCTAATCTTACTATTTTGAAAAGGAAACAGAGATAAGTTTCTCCACAAGTAATTCATCATCTAACCTCTAGTTGGACAATTTTTTTCTTTTTCATATCTCCGCTCAACATACCTTTAAATTGAGAAATTATTCTAATCCAATCCTATATACCAAACGAGCCCCTAAATGATGCAGTTTTTTAATACAAACTATATTGATTAGGAAACAAAAGACCTTGAGTGCAGGACTAAACGCCATTACCAGCTCTCAAAATATATTGAAATGCATAGATGCGCCATGAAATAGCTTGACCTCAATGAGAAAAACTTATGTAAGGACATACTGAATTACTGACCATGTCACTCGTAAGGGAGCTCTCAAAACAATTTGAGACTCAAATATTTTGGTCTCAAAAGAATTCCTAAATTACTGGCCATGTCACTTATGCAGGGACTTAAGGAATTACTGAACATGCCATGAAATATCATCCAACTAATTTGATAGGTTACGGCCTAGTAGCTGCCAAATGGCTTAATAAAATGATGACACGTGTGCGTGGGTGTTAGTAGTTAGTTGGGAATGAGAGGATAAATAGCTGATGTAACGAAGAAGGAAGGGGTTAATGAAAAGTTGTTGTATTTCTGTTTGTTATTCTCTATACAATTAGGAAGAAGTGGAGAAAGGGTTTAACATAATTAAGCTACTTTTACAAAGAGTAGGCCGTATGTACGTGTGTATTAAAAATTGTACCTATCCGA